GCCGGGCTGATGGCCGAGTGGTGTGATGTGCCCAGTGTGGGTACTCCGGGCAATCCAAGCCAGGACTGCTTTGGAAGCGGGGCACCCCTGAGAATTGTCTGTCTGGGGTGGGGGTCGGGACCCTTTAAGCACAGCCCTCGGCTAGCCTGAGACAGCAGCTCCACGCTCTAAGTCCTCATCTGATGCCCTGCCGGCACTGCTTCCGGCCATCCTTAAGCCTGGTTCAGGGTCCACTTAATGTGGACATGCTAGTTCGAATTAGCAAAACGCTAATTCCAACTAGTTTTTTAGTCTGGATCCGTTAGTTCGAATTAGCTTGGTTTGAATTAACTAATTCGAACTAAGTTAGTTCGAATTAACGTTGTAGTGTAGACATACCCCAAGACACAGACGCCATATCTCCCATTACACCACACAGCCCCAAGACACATATGCCACGTCTCCCATCCCACCACACACGCTTCAGATCCCCCAAGACACGGATGCCACATCTTCCATTACACCACACAGCTCCAAGACACAGACACAACATTTCCATCCCACCACAAACCCCTCAGATTCCCTAAAACACGGATGCCACATCTCCCATTCCACCGTGGAGCCCCGCAGATCTCCCAAGACATGGACGCCACGTCTCCCATTCCACCGCGGAGCCCCACAGACACCCCAAGAGATGGACGCCATGTCTCCCATTACAGCACCCACCCCGCAGATCCCCTAAGACACAGACGCCACATCTCCCATTATATCACACAGCCCCAAGACACAGATACCACGTCTCCCATCCCACCACATACCCCGCAGATCCCCCAAGACACAGATGCCACGTTTCCCATTCCACCGCGGAGCCCCACAGATCCCCTAAGACACAGACGCCACGTCTCCCATTCCACCGCGGAGCCCCACAGATCCCCCAAAACACAGATGCCACGTCTCCCATTACACCACACACCCTGCAGATGCCCCAACACTCAGATCCCAACTCCATGAATGTTGGAACTAGGGATGAGGCAGCATATCCTGGTTTAAAATTATTTCCATCATTTACAGGGTGTTTATGATTTGGTTCAACGTTTCTCAAAACTCCCACCATACAAATCGCTCTAGCACTACTGCCAAGACACCCCTTCAGCAGGGATCCTGTACTGCTCATTCCAACACCCCTCCCCAGAGATCCTCCAGCATTCAGATCCCATAATCCTCTGGCACAGACCTCCACAGACTCCTGAAATCCTCACCCTACAGCACGAATCTGAGAACTAACTGTCTTCCTAAGCAACAATTACTGCAGTGAGCTTTATCATGGTGATTTTGAAGCAAGGGAGTGAGAGAAGATAAGAAAAAGGGTATGTCTACACTACAGCGCTAATACGAACTTAGTTCAAATTAGTTAATTCAAACTAAGCTAATTCGAACTAATGCATCCAGACTAAAAACTAGTTCGAATTAGCGTTTTGCTAATTCGAACTTGCATGTCCACACAGAGTGGACCCTGAACAGAGGTTAAGGCTGGCTGGAAGCAGTGCCGGCAGGGCATCAGATGAGGACTTAGAGCGTGGAGCTGCTGTCTCAGGCTAGCCGAGGGCTGTGCTTAAAGGGACCCGACCCCCACCCCGGACAGACAGTTCTCAGGGGTGCCCCACTTCCAAAGCAGTCCTGGCTTGGAGTGCCCGGAGTACCCACAGTGGGCATATCACAGCACTCGGCCATCAGCCCGGCTGCACTTGCCGCAGGCTGCCATCTGAGGAGAGGGGACAATTGGGGGGCTGCAGGAGAGGTTCCACCCCCAGAAGCCCACAGAGCCAGCCCAGTCCTCCCCATCGGGGGTTTGTACCCCATTCCTCCCTCACCTCCTTCCACTTACCCCTCCCTAACCCCCCTTCCTGATGTACAAAATAAAGGACAATTGTGTTCAAAAATAGAATCTCTCTTTATTGAACAAAACGGGGAGAGACTGGGAAAAGGAGGTGGGAGAGGGGAGGGCAACTACAATGATGAGGGGTTGTAGGGAGTGGCCACCAGGGAAACCTGGGGAGGGCTAGCCTCCCACTAGTTCGAATTAAGGGTCTACACACCCCTTAATTCGAACTAGCTAGTTCGAACTAGGCTTAATCCTCGTAAAATGAGGTTTTCCTAGTTCGAACTAAGCGCTCCGCTAGTTCGAATTAAATTCGAACTAGCGGAGCACTAGTGTAGTGCCTATGAAAGTTAGTTTGAACTAACGTCCGTTAGTTCGAACTAACTTTGTAGTGTAAACATACCCTTGGGGTATCTGCGGGGCTCCACGGTGGAATGGGAGACGTGGCGTCTGTGTCTTGGGGGATCTGCGGGGCTCCATGGTGGAATGGGAGACGTGGCGTCCGTGTCTTGGGGGATCTGCGGGGCTCCATGGTGGAATGGCAGACGTGGCGTCCATGTCCTGGGGGATCTGTGGGGCTCTGTGGTGGAATGGGGACGTGGCATCTGTATCTTGGGGGATCTGCGGGGCTCCGCGATGAAATGGGAGATGTGGCATCCGTACTGTAATGAGTGACATGGTGTCCGTGTCTTGGGGGATCTGTGGGGTGTGTGGTGTGATGGGAGACGTGGTGTCTGTGTCTTGGGGCTCTGTGGTGTAACGGGAGACGTAGTGTCCATGTCTGGGGGATCCGTGGAGCTCCACGGTGGTTAGGGAGACACGGAGTCCATGTCTTGGGGGATCTGCGGGGCTCCGTGATGGAATGGGAGATGTTGCGTCTGTGTCTTGGGGGATCTGCGGGGTGTGTGGTGGGATGGGAGACGTGGTGTCTGTGTCTTGGAGCTGTGTGGTGTAATGGGAGATGTGGCTTCTGTGTCTTGGGGGATGGGATCTGCAGGGCTCCGCTGTGAAATAGGAGCCGTGGGATCTGCTGGGGAGGAGACTGAGCTGGGAGGATTATGTGTTCTGTGTTGCTTGGTCTGGGTGCTGGCTGTTGTGGTGTCTCCATCTCCCCTCTCTGTATGACAGGTCCTGGAAGAGAAACCTTCAGGTCTGCTGATCGCATCCCTGCAGGCCAAGGACCCAGACGAGGGTGAGAATGGGACCATCTTCTACTCACTAACAGGTAAAGGGGGTAGGGGAAGCGGTATGGCACCCTCACCTCTAGCAAGTCCCCTGGACTATGGTCCTGACCACCCTCCAAACACACACGCAGTCCCAGCATTCCGCAGGCTGACCCCCACCATCTCTAACCCGCTCTGACCCAGTAGCTGTTGTCCATGCAACAATATCTCCGGATTGAAGTGTCATTAGAGGTGGTTTTGGAACAAATAGAAAAACTTAATGTTAACAAATCTCCGGGACCGGACGGCATTCATCCAAGGGTTCTAAAAGAACTTAAATGGGAAATTGCTGAGCTATTATCTGTGGTTTGTAACCTATCCTTTAAATCGGCTTCCGTACCTAATGACTGGAAGGTAGCCAACGTGACACCAATATTTAAAAAGGGCTCTAGAGGCGATCCTGGTAATTACAGACCGGTAAGTCTAACTTCAGTACCGGGCAAATTAGTCGAAACAATAGTAAAGAATAAAATTGTGAAGCATGTAGAAGAACATAATTTGTTGGACAAAAGTCAACATGGTTTCTGTAAAGGAAAATCCTGTTTTACTAATCTGTTAGAGTTCTTTGAAGGGGTTAACAAACATGCGGACAAGGGGGATCCAGTAGATATAGTATACTTGGATTTTCAGAAAGCCTTTGACAAGGTCCCTCACCAAAGGCTCTTGTGTAAATTACATGGCCATGGGATAAGAGGGAAGGTCCTTTCTTGGATTGAGAACTGGTTAAAAGACAGGAAACAAAGGGTAGGAATAAATGGTAAATTTTCAGATTGGAGAGGGGTAACTAGTGGTGTACCCCAAGGGTCAGTCCTGGGACCAATCCTTTTCAACTTATTCATAAATGATCTGGAGAAAGGGGTAAGCAGTGAGGTAGTAAAGTTTGCAGATGATACCAAACTGTTTAGGATAGTCAAGACAGAAGCAGACTGTGAGGGACTCCAAGAAGATCTCACCAAACTGAGTGATTGGGCAACAAAATGGCAAATGAAATTTAATGTGGATAAGTGTAAAGTAATGCACATCGGGAAAAATAACCCCAACTATACGTACAGTATGATGGGGGCTAATTTGGCTACGACAAATCAGGAAAGAGATCTTGGAGTTATCGTGGACAGTTCTCTGAAAACTTCCACACAGAGTGCAGCGGAGGTCAAAAAGGCAAATAAGATGCTAGGAATTATTAGGAAAGGGACAGAAAATAAGACAGAATATCTTACTGCCCCTGTATAAAACTATGGTACACCCACATCTTGAATACTGTGTACAGATGTGGTCTCCTCACCTCAAAAAAGATATTTTGGCCTTGGAAAGGGTTCAGAAAAGGGCAACTAAAATGATTAGGGGTTTGGAACGGGTCCCATATGAGGAGAGGTTAAAGCGACTGGGACTTTTCAGTTTAGAAAAGAGGAGACTGAGGGGGGATATGATAGAGGTCTATAAAATCATGAGTGGTGTGGAGAGGGCTGATAAAGAAAAGTTATTTATTAGTTCCCATAATAGAAGAACTAGAGGACACCAAATGAAATTAATGGGTAGCAGGTTTAAAACTAATAAAAGAAAGTTCTTCTTCACACAGCGTGTAGTCAACCTGTGGAACTCCTTGCCAGAGGAGGCTGTGAAGGCTAGGACTATAATAGAGTTTAAAGAGAAGCTAGATAATTTCATGGAGGTTAGGTCCATAAAAGGCTATTAGCCAGGGGATAAAATGGTGTCCTTGGCCTCTGTTTGTCAGAGGCTGGAGAGGGATGGCAGAAGACAAATCGCTTGATCATTGTATTCGGTCCACCCTCTCTGGGGCACCTGGTGCTGGCCACTGTCGGCAGACAGGATACTGGGCTAGATGGACCTTTGGTCTGATCCAGTACGGCCGTTCTTATGTTCTTATGTTATCTCCCCTTCTCTCCGCAGGGGCTTGGGCCGAACGCTTCACACTGCACATGGCCACGGGGGAACTGCGTACGGCCACTGTACTACGCCGAGCGGACCGGGCTGAATACATCTTCACCGTGACAGCCAGCGACCGGGGAATGGTGCCCCGCAGCATGGCAGCTGTTGTCCGCATTCAGGTACATGAGTCCCCCAAACCCACCCCCAGGGCTATAATCCACATCTGGGTTCCTGCCCCCCCCCAAGTCCCCTCTAGAGCTATCATCCACATCTGGGTTCCTGGACTCCCCAGCTATTCCCCTGTAATATAACAGTTTCTGGAAGCACTGCTGAGAGGTCAAATCAGGGCAAATGGCTTAGAAACAGATCTACTTACAGCCCCAACACTAGGGGTCCTCTTCTATAAGGCACTGAACCAGTCACAAAGAGCACTTCTGTTTGCTACTCTGGCTAGCAAAAACTCACCCAAGCAATTCTTTAGATACTCCAGTTTTCCTGTGCCACCAATCAGCGCCCACCTTACACAGGTGAGAGGCTATGACAAAGGGTGTTAAAAAGCACTTAATTGACTTCGCGACTAGTTGGTGGAATTTCCATTGACTAGTGCTAGCTGATAGGCACTTCCGCACTCCTCCTCTGAAAAGTACAAGAGCCCCTGCCAGTGGGAAGTCCCGCTGACTCCAGGCTGCATGCGGATGCCTGCTTTGAAATGCACAAGAGTCCCCAGCGGGGACAGCTACTGGATCATAGAGGCAGCAATGGGGAACGGGAGGGATTGACTAGTCAACATTACTAGTCGACTAGTCTTTAACATCCTTATAACCCATCCCCCACCTCCCCTCAGACACCCCAGTGCTCCCTCTGCCCCACCCAGCCCTCACCTTACACAGGGGAGAGGTTATAACCCATCCCCCACCTCCCCTCAGACACCCCAGTGCTCCCTCTGCCCCACCCAGCCCTCACCTTACACAGGGGAGAGGTTATAACCCATCCCCCACCTCCCCTCAGACACCCCAGTGCTCCCTCTGCCCCACCCAGCCCTCACCTTACACAGGGGAGAGGTTATAACCCATCCCCCACCTCCCCTCACACACTCCAGTGTTCCCTGTGCCCTCCAGCCCCCCTTACACAGGGGAGAGGTTATGAAAACCAATCTCACCAAATCTGAATAGGTTCTCCCTATTCCAAAGGGCTAACCATATTTCCAGGGCAATTTATACCTCAGATTTTACCCAAACAAGCATGATGTGCCAGTCCTTTGACATCTAAAATCTAAAGGCGAAAGAAAGAAAGAAAGAAAGAAAGAAAGAAAGAAAGAAAGAAAGAAAGAAAGAAAGAAAGAAAGAAAGAAAGAAAGAAAGAAAGAAAGAAAGAAAGTGTGATACTGGGTTAGGGTAGGGATCATTGAGGTTCCTTTGTGTGGAAAAGCTAACGTGCAAAGGTTGTCAGGTTTACCTTCCTTGGCCATTTGATTTCTGTGAGCAGGCTTGGTGTAGAGGTTTCCTCTGGTGAGACTGGGGAAAGGAGGTGGGAGAGGGGAGGGGGAAACCTGGGAGGAGGGAGTTGGAAGGGAGGGGAGAGAGTAAAATTTTTAAAGGAAACATATTACATATGCCAGTTACAATATCGTAGTGAAGGCTTGTAGCAGAGAAGGCATAATCTTCTATGTTAAAAGATAGGAAACCTCAGGAGTCATCGAGTCCAACTCCCTGCCCAAAGTAGGACCAATCCCAACTAAATCATCCCAGCCAGGGCTTTGTCAGGTCGAGACTTAAATACCTCTAGGGGTGGAGATTCCACCATCTCCCTAGGGAACACATCCCAGTGCTTCCCATCCTCCTAGGGAAATAGTTTTTCCTAATATCCAACCTAGATCCCCCTACCACTTGAGACCATTGCTCCTTGTTCTGTCATTTGTCGCCACTGAGAATAGCCTCTCTCCATCTCCTTTGGAGCCCCCTTTCATGTAGTTGAAGGCTGCTGTCAAATCCTTCCTCACTCTTTTCTTCTGCAGACTAAACAAGCCCAAATCCCTCAGCCTCTCCTCATAGGTCATGTGCTCAAGGCTCCTCGTCATTTCTGTTGCCCTCCACTGCACTTCGTCCACATCCTTTTTGTAATGAGGGACCCAGAATTGGATGCAATCCTCCAGATGTGGCCTCACCAGTGCCCAATAAAGGGGAATAATTACTTCCCTAAATCTGCTGGCAATGCTGCCTTACTAATCTGCTAGAAACTACAGGGGATAGCCAAGTTAGTCTGTTAGGGTATGTCTACACTAGCTCGTTAGTGGAACGAGGAGTAACGGTAGTTCGGAATAGGAAGCCTAATCCGAACTACCTAGTCCGTGCCGCGTGTCACGCTGGGCCAATCCTTTAGCATCTAACAACTAAAGGTTTATTACTACAAGAAAGAAAAGCACAGGTATTTCTACATTACCACCCTAGTTCGAACTAGGGTGGTAGTGTAGACATACCCCTAGCCTACAGCATGGGCTTGTCCTACGGCTTGCACCAGGCATGAGTTGGGCGTACGCCAGTGCCGTGAGCCCACTAAGCCAGCAGCATTCCCTTCTGGGCTCTTCACTCTCTCTCTGTGCACCCAGGAGAGAGCTGCTGAATCCCTCCGACCGTTTCTCTTCTTTGCTTTCCAGTTCAGTCTCCTGCCAGACAGGGTCTCCAGCTGCCAGGTCTGCCTGTTGTCTGGCTGGGCCCTCTGCTCGGGGGTAGGGGGCCATTAACAACGCTCTTAGATCTGCCCCAGACCGCAAGTGACATCCCTGCCATGCTCCATAGTCCATTATAGGCAAGCAACACGGGAATGCAGGGGCAAGATTAGAAAGGCAAAGGCACAAAATGAGATCAAACTAGCTACAGGCATAAAGGGAAACAAGAAGACCTTTTATAAATACATTAAAAGCAAGAGGAAGACCAAGGACAGGGTAGGCCCACTGCTTAGTGAGGAGGGAGAAGCAGTAACAGGGAACTTGGAAATGGCGGAGATGCTCAATGACTTCTTTGTTTCGGTCTTCACCGAGAAGTCTGGAGGTGTGCCTAACGTAGTGAATACAAGCAGAGAGAGGGGAAGTTTAGAAGATAGGATACACAAAGAACAAGTTAAAAATCACTTAGGAAAGTTAGATGTCAACAAGTCACCAGGTCCTGATGAAATGCATCCCAGGATACTCAAGGAGCTGATAGAGGAGGTATCTGAGCCTTTAGCTATGATCTTTGAAAAATCATGGCAGACAGGGGAGATTCCAGAAGACGGGAAAAGGGCAAATATTGTGCCCATCTATAAAAAGGGGAATAAGAACAACCCAGGAAATTATAGACCGGTCAGTTTAACGTCTGTCCCAGGGAAGATAATGGAGCAGGTAATTAAGGAAATCGTATGCAAACACTTGGAAAGTAATAAAGTGATAGGGAATAGCCAGCATGGGTTTGTGAAGAACAAGTCATGCCAAACTAATCTGATAGCTTTCTTTGATAAGATAACGAGCCTTGTGGATAAGGGAGAAGCGGTGGATGTCATATACCTAGACTTTAGTAAGGCAGTTGATACGGTCTCGCATGATATTCTTATTGATAAACTAGGCAAATATAACTTAGATAGGGCCACGATAAGGGGGGTGCATAATTGGCTGAATAACCGTAGTCAGAGAGTTGTTGTTAACGGTTCTAAATCCTGCTGGAAAGGGATAACAAGTGGAGTTCCGCAAGGGTCTGTTTTGGGACCCGTACTGTTCAATATCTTCATCAATGATGTAGATATTGGGATAGAGAGTACGCTTATTAAGTTTGCAGATGATACCAAACTGGGTGGGGTTGCGACTTCTTTGAAGGATAGGGACATAATTCAAAATGACCTTAGCAAGTTAGAGAAATGGTCAGAGGTAAACAGGATGAGGTTTAATAAAGAAAAATGCAAAGTGCTCCACTTAGGAAGGAACAATCAGTTCCATACATACAGGATGGGAAGCGACTGTCTGGGAAGGAGCATGGCGGAAAGGGATCTAGGGGTCATAGTGGACCACAAGTAGAATACGAGTCAACAGTGTGATGCTGTTGCAAAAAAAGCAAATATGATTCTAGGTTGTATCAACAGGTGTGTTGTAAGCAAAACTCGTGAAGTCATTCTGCCGCTCTACTCTGCACTAGTTAGGCCTCAGCTGGAGGACTGTGTCCAGTTCTGGGCGCCACATTTCAAGAAAGATGTGGAGAAATTGGAAAGGGTACAGAGAAGAGCGACAAGAATGATTAAAGGTCTAGAGAACATGACCTATGAAGCCAGGTTTCATGAACTGGGCTTGGTTAGTTTGGAAAAAAGAAGATTAAGGGGGGACATGATAGCGGTTTTCAAATATCTAAAAGGGTGTCACAAGGAGGAAGGAGAAAATTTGTTCCTCTTGGTTTCTGAGGACAGGACAAGGAGTAATGGGCTTAAAGTGCAGCAGGGGAGGTTTAGATTGGACATTAGGAAAAAATTCCTAACTGTCAGGGTGGTCAAATATTGGAATAAATTGCCAAGGGAGGTGGTGGAATCTCCCTCTCTGGAGATATTTAAGAACAGGTTAGATAGACATCTGTCAGGGATGGTGTAGACGGAGCTTGATCCTGCCTTGAGGGCGGGGGGCTGGACTCGATGACCTCTCGAGGTCCCTTCCAGTCCTATTATTCTATGATTCTATGATTACGCAGTGCCCATGTCCCAGAGCCATCATCCCTGCTGCTGCATAGACCCTCCCCAAATCCAAACCCAGGGCCATCATCTTTGTCCCGGCATGCAGTACCCCAGCCAGCAACGGTATTGTCATTCTGGTGCACAACCCATTAAACCGGCCTTATGGTCATAACGGGCGATCACCACAGCCCCAGTCCGCGTTCTGGGACACAGCCCTATAGAGTCTCTCCCCCAGGGCCACCATCCACGTTCTGGGACACAGCCCTCTACAGTCTTTGCCCCGTGGCCACCATCGACGTTCTGGGACACAGCCCTCTACAGTCTCTGCCCCACGGCCCCACACAGCCTCTGCCCCACAGCCACCATGCATGTTCTGGGACACAGCCCTATACAGTCTCTGCCCCACAGCTCCACCTACTCTGCCCCACGGCCACCATCCACGTTCTGGGACACAGCCCTCTACAGTCTCTGCCCCACGGCCCCACACAGCCTCTGCCCCACAGCCACCATGCATGTTCTGGGACACAGCCCTATACAGTCTCTGCCCCACAGCTCCACCTACTCTGCCCCACGGCCACCATCCACATTCTGGGACACAGCCCTCTACAGTCTCTGCCCTGCGGCCCCACCCAGCCTCTGCCCCACGGCCACCATCCATGCTCTGGTATACAGCCTCCCTTCACAACCTCTGCCCCCCAACCACCGCCCATGTTCTGGTAAGCAGCCTCCGCCAGAACCTCCGCTGCAGTCACCATCTCTCTTCTTGTAGGCAGCCCCTCCAGCCCACTGCCCCACAGCTCCTTCTCTCAGCTCATCCCCTCCAGCCCCACAAGTCTGACTTCAGCTTTCCTCTCCCACTGCAGGTTCTGCCGTCCTCCCGGGCGCTGCCTCAGCCAGACACCGTGGTGCTTACGCTGCACCCAGTGGAAGGGGTCAAGCCTGGCTCAGTGATTGGTTCTGTGGCGCCTCCAGAGGCCTCCGGGCAGGGGCAGCTGACCTACACGCTGATAGGGGGCGGGGGGGATGGCACCTTTGTGGTGGATAGCACGACGGGGGAGATCTATGCAGCGCGGGAGCTGGACTACGAGAGGGGGGCGCAGCACACGCTGCAGGTCAGTGCCGAGGACATGCAGAACGGCTATCCGGCCAGCCGGCTGGTGCTGGTACAAATCCATGTGCAGGACTGCAATGACCAGGCGCCCGCCTTCCCCGAGGACCCCATCACGATCGTCGTGCCTGAGAACACACCGGCCGGCACCTCCATCTTCACCTTCCAAGCCCCAGATGGGGATGGCGCTGGGCCCAACAGCCAGGTGTGCTACAGACTGCTTCGCCAGGAGCCCCCCGGCTCCCACTTCCAGCTGGATGCCCACTCTGGACAGCTGAGCCTCCATGAGGGGCTAGACCGTGAGACAGTCCCTTCCTTTCTGCTGGTGGTGGAGGCCACAGACCAGGCTCCCAACATCAGCCAGCGCCACTCTGCTGCTGTCACTGCCCGCGTTTTCGTAACAGACGAGAACGACAACGCACCTGTCTTCCTCTCGCCAGACACTGTCAGTGTCATGGAAGACCAGCCCACTGGATTTGTGGTGCTACACGTGGTTGTACAGGATGGGGACCTGGGTGAAAATGGGCGGGTGAGCTACACACTGCAGGCAGGCAATGCTGAGGGCCGGTTCCACCTCAACCCCAGCACAGGTAAGAGGGACTTGTAACATGGCAGGGAGCTGCGGGGGAGCCTGGGAGATGGCCCATTTTGTCTCCCGTGTCCTTTCCCAAGGGAAGATGACAGGCATGAGGGGAAGGGAAGGGACACAGGAAACACACGGGGCGAAGGGGAAGAGCTGACGGACGTGGAGAAGGGAAGGGACACAGGACACACGGGGCGAACGGGAAGAGCTGACGGACGTGGGGAAGGGACACGGGGCGAAGGGGAAGAGCTGACGGACGTGGGGAAGGGAAGGGACACGGGACACACAGGGGGCAAAGGGGAAGAGCTGAGGGACGTGGGGAAGGGAAGGGACACGGGACACACAGGGGGCGAAGGGCAAGAGCTGACGGACGTGGGGAAGGGAGGGGACACGGGACACACACGGGGCGAAGGGGAAGAGCTGAGGGACGTGGGGAAGGGAAGGGACACGGGACACACAGGGGGCGAAGGGGAAGAGCTGACGGACGTGGGGAAGGGAGGGGACATGGGATACACGGGGGGCGAAGGGGAAGAGCTCAGGGACGTGGGGAAGGGAAGGGACACGGGACACAGGGGGTGAAGGGGAAGAGCTGAGGGACGTGGGGAAGGGAGGGGACACGGGACACACAGGGGGCAAAGGGGAAGAGCTGAGGGACGTGGGGAAGGGAAGGGACACGGGACACACGTGGCGAAGGGGAAGAGCTGATGGACATGGGAAGGGAGGGGACACGGGACACGGGGCAAAGGGGAAGAGCTGAGGGACATGGGGAAGGGAGGGGACACGGGACACACAGGGGGCGAAGGGGAAGAGCTGACGGACGTGGGGGAGGTGAGACAGCGGTGTGTCAGGCGCACTCTGGAGACCTGGGGCAGTCAGAGGAGACGGCAGTGGTGACAGCAGGTGGCAGACTCAGCCGGCAGCGAGGGATGGATTCCCCCCTGGCCACTGCAGGAGTCAGAGAAACAGGCCAATGCTGGGGGCACAGCTGGGTGTGGCACCACAGCCCAAGCTGTGGGGTTGTGGAGCTGTGGGACCTGCCTGCAAGACTGTGGCTCATGCCAGCCAGGTGCCTGCTACTCCTGTGTACAGGCTCAGTGTGTCCTGGTGTCTCCCTAGGTGCCCTCTCCATTGTGCGGGCTCTGAACAGGGAGGAGGTTGCCCAGCACAACCTGACGGTCGTGGCCATGGACCATGGCTTCCCACGTCACTCGTCCACTCAGCTGCTGTCTGTGCTGGTGCTGGACGTCAACGACGAGGCGCCCACCTTTGAGCGGGCTGAGTATGAGGCCCGTGTCATGGAGAACCTGCCAGCGGGCAGCCCTGTGCTGCAGCTGCTGGCCACAGACCGTGACCTGGGTGAGTCTTGGGGCTGGAACTGGTGACCACAGGGGCAGGAGTCTGGCACGGTCAATGCTTCTCCAGAGGCGTTGGCCTGGAAGGGCAGGCGTGGACGTGGTCACCACAGGCCTTCCCCTTCTCCCATCTGCCAAGGCAGCATCCCGGGAGCCCCAGGGATGAGCAGAGGAGAGAGGCAGGCTCTGAGCACTGAGGGGAAGCTGAGAATGGGGCTCTCAGCGTGGCCCTGGCCTCAGGGACAGTCGCCAGGCAGCATTTCCCCACCCCCTTCTCTCAGCGTGGCCCTGGCCTCAGGGACAGGTGCCAGGCAGCATTTCTCCTCCCCCTTAGCTGGGCCACAGCGGTCGCCTTCCCTCGGCCTTCTGACATCTCCATTTCTGCCCCCGCCTCCTGTCTCTGGGCCCTTCCCCACCCGGCAGCCCACGCCGATTCCTTTTGTGGCTGCAGGGGAAGTAGAGAGGGGCCCTGGTCCTGGGGCCATTGCGCCTTCCACTCAGAGGTTTCTCTCTTCAGGAGCCAATGGTCATGTGTCGTATGGAGGCCTCTCTGGGGGGCCCTTCTCCATCCACCCACAGACGGGCCTCATCACTACTGCGCACTCCCTGGACCGGGAGAGGTGGGAACAGCACGTGCTAACAGGTATGGCCAGACCTGGGGGTTGGGCAGGGGAAGGAGAGAAGCAGGGCCTATGCGGAAAGGTGGGGGGTTGCCGCTGGGGTCCCTGCTGGCATGGACATCACTAGTAGTTAGGGGAAGGAGGCCCATGGTGCAGGGCAGACAAAGGGAGTGGGGGGTTTCAGGTCTGGGATAAGAGTGTTGGGGGGTGAGACATGAAGGGAGGAAGACAGGAGAGCGGGGGGGTGAGTGCTGGAGGAGGGAATGGGCCATGAGTGAGCTGCTCCTTGCAGGCAAGGGGAGGGTACCCTTGCGTGTCAGGTAGGGTCTCTAGGACTGCCATCTCCCCCACAGTCTATGCCCGGGATGGTGGCCGGCCCCCCAACCTGGCCAAAGTGATGGTGCGGATCTTGGTGGGAGATGAAAACGACCATGCCCCGCACTTCGAGAGCAAGTCCTGCTCCTTGGAGGTGCCTGAGAACCAGAGCCTTGTGGCACTCTACACCCTGCGGGCCACAGACCCAGATGCGGGCGAGAACGGGCGTCTGGAGTACCATGTGCTGGGTGAGGGCCATGGGCACATGGCTTGTGCTGTGCCGGTGCTCCCCCTTCCGATCCCAGCTCCCACACGTGGCTCCTTCGATGAGCAGCAATCTCCCGGCTGCCGGGTGTGCTCAGGCCACAGGGTACAACCTATGCCAGGCCGCACAGCTCTCCGGGGGCCTGGTATGGTAGAGCTGCCTCCAGGTCCGCGAATGCCGGCTGCTCACGCCAGCCCCAGGCCCTGCATGGCACGCTCCTGATTCTACTGGGGAGTTGGGTCGAGGGTTGCTGAGAAGGGATGAAGTTGTGCGCCTCTGCTCTGCACTGGGGGGGTTTGCCGGTGAGGTGGTGCCAAGTATGGGCCATGTGCTGTGCAGCTCAGGGGGAGACACCCTATCCTGTCTGCACCACAGCACCCCGCATGCAGGGGCCCGTCTGCAGAACGACCGGGCGCCATCCCAGGGTGGGCCCATCGTTCCTGCCCCCTCCCAAAAGTCAGACTCAGGAAGGGGCCTCGCGCCTACACCCTCTCTGAGCCCTGTCACGAGGGTCCCATGCACCCATCCCCCCACGCCATATCAGGGAGGCTCTCTCATCCTCTCTCTTCCCCCAGAGGGAGACCCTGCCCAGGATTTCAGCCTGGACCCTGCCTCCGGCGTGCTCTCCACCTCGCGCAGCCTGGACCGGGAGCTGGTGGCCTCTTACCAGCTGATTGTGGAGGCGCGAGATCACGGCACACCCCCGCGTAGCGCCACCATGTCTCTGAGCGTTCGAGTGCTGGACCTGAATGACAACGCCCCGCGCTTCGCACAGGCAGCCTACGCTGTGGAGGTGCCTGAGGACCTCGCTGTCGGGGCACTGGTGCTGCAGCTGGGGGCACTGGACCCAGACGAGGGCACCAATGGGCAGGTCTCCTACTACCTGGGCAACGAGTCGCTGGGCATGTTCCAGGTGGAACCGCAGAGTGGGCGCATCACCAGCGCCCAGGCCCTGGACCGTGAGCGCCGAGCCAGGTACAGCTTTCTGGCCAAAGCCGTGGACTCAGCCCCCTGGGAGCCCAAGAGTGCAGTTGTGCGTGTCACAGTCACTGTGCAGGACGTCAATGACCATGCGCCTGCCTTCCTGCACAGCCTGCTCGCTGTCAACCTCTCCCGCCACACGCCGCCTAAGCAGCTGGTGGCCATGATGCAGGCTGAGGACAAAGATGCAGGTGCCAACGCCTCCATTCTGTACCGGTTTGCCACACCCAACCCCAGCTTCGCCATCAATTCCTACACTGGCGACATCCAGCTGCTGCAGCCTCTCAGCTCTCTGAGCCAGCGCCAGCGCACCCTCTTCATCCTGGCCAGCGACCTGGGCCAGCCAGCCCTCTCCTCCACTGGCGTGGTGGTGATCCACCTGCAGGAAGAGAGATACCGGGGCGTGCATTTCCCCCGCAGCACCAAGGACGTGGCCCTGCCTGAGAATGCTGCCCCAGGTACTGGCCACAGGGTACACGGCGCCGGGGGCCAGCCAGCCCTCTCCTCCACTGGCGTGGTGGTGATCCACCTGCAGGAAGAGAGATACCGGGGCGTGCATTTCCCCCGCAGCACCAAGGACGTGGCCCTGCCTGAGAATGCTGCCCCAGGTACTGGCCACAGGGTACATAGTGCGGGGTCGGAGCAGGAAATGGCCGGGAGCTGGGGACAGGAAGGGGATACCGGGGGTCAGAGGGAATGGCCGGGAGCTGGGGACAGGAGGGGGGTACCGGGGGCCAGAGGGAATGGCCGGGAGCTGGGGACAGGAGGGGGGTACCGGGGGCCAGAGGGAATGGCCGGGAGCTGGGGACAGGAGGGGGGTACCGGGGGCCAGAGGGAATGGCCGGGAGCTGGGGACAGGAGGGGGGTACCGGGGGCCAGAGGGAATGGCCGGGAGCTGGGGACAGGAGGGGGGTACCGGGGGCCAGAGGGAATGGCCGGGAGCTGGGGACAGGAGGGGGGTACCGGGGGCCAGAGGGAATGGCCGGGAGCTGGGGACAGGAGGGGGGTACCGGGGGCCAGAGGGAATGGCCGGGAGCTGGGGACAGGAGGGGGGTACCGGGGGCCAGAGGGAATGGCCGGGAGCTGGGGACAGGAGGGGGGTACCGGGGGCCAGAGGGAATGGCCGGGAGCTGGGGACAGGAGGGGGGTACCGGGGGCCAGAGGGAATGGCCGGGAGCTGGAGGTGGGAACTACTAAGAGGCCCCCCCGGGCACATATGCCAAATAAGTTGTCATGGGAGAAGAGGGAAGGGTCTCTCCTGAGTTGGGGTATGTCTACACTACAAAGTTAGTTCGAACTAAAGGACGTTAGTTCGAACTAACTTTCATAAGCGCTACACCATTCCACGAGGATTAAGCCTAGTTCAAACTAGCTAGTTCGAATTAAGGGCTGTGTAGACCCTTAATTCGAACTAGTGGGAGGCTAGCCCTCCCCAGGTTCCCCTGGTGGCCACTCTGGCCAACACCAGGGAAACTCGTCTGCCC